GGCACCTTGCTAAAAAAAAAAAAAAAGGCTATTTATTATTTAATTGCTGCAGAGGAAGGCGTTGCCTGAGGAATTTTTTGTGCTGAAATGGTTCTCTGTGCCAACTCAAGGAACAGCAGAGAGCCTGAGAGCTGGAAGGACAGAGGGGAACAGGCCGCACTAAGGATGCAAAGCAAGGACAGAAGGGTATCGGGAGCAAAGAGCTACATTTTCTCCTGCCTTGGGGTGGGGGGAGGATTGTCAATACACGGCAGTCGTATCTGGAGTGGGAGAAGAGAGAGAGAGAGAGAGAGAGAGAGAGAGCCCTTTAGGCTTCCAAGGTGAAAAGCAAGTTTCTTGCCACAGCCTTTCACCACCCTGGCAACGGTCAGTCATCTACAAAAACGCTTAGCCTGTCCAGAGAATCCCTGATTGAAACACGCCTCGTGTCCCCTTCCCTCTCCCCCTCCCCCCTCCCTCCCCCTTTCTTCACTGAGGACACAGCAAGACCTGAAGAAGGCTAAAAAGCCAGCGAGGTCCATCCCGATGGGAAACTCGCCAGCACAGAGATGGTGGCTCTCCACAGCTGGCCCCTTGCAGGAGGGGCTGCTTGGGGCCAGGGCAATGGGGGCAACTTCTCTTGGGCACAGAGGAGCCGCTCAAGGCTGGAGAGCGAGCCTGTCGGGCCCTTCTCTTTCCTCAGAGAGACCAGCTGGTGGAGGGCTCGACGCTGGGGGTGCCTCTGGAGGACGTGGGGCTGGGAGAGCTGCTGCTTCCCCCGCCGGCGCTCTGGGTGTTGGATCCGGCAATGAGGTGGACGACGGGTTTCTGGGCAAAGAGGACGCCTGTTGGGGGGGAAGAGAGGAGGAAAACTAGTTGACCAGTTGAATCAGTTCAGCAGATGAGGAAAGGATCACGGAGCCCCAGAACAAAACAGGAGACTGGACCAAAATTCTTTTCCAGGCTGGCAATTCTGCAGCTCTGCAATGGGAAAGGTAGTAGGCCAGGAACCTTTTCCCATTCTGCCCTATTTGCCCCAGACTCCACCAACCACCAGCCACTTTCCATGGAACCAAAGGAGGACCAGCCCCATCACCCAGCCGCTCCTTATCCAGGTTCTTCTGGAGTCACTTATGGTATCGGTAAGCTCAGTGAGAGAAGATATGCTACGGGCTATTGAAAAGCCCAGCCCAGTTCCTGGTCAAAAGGAGCCGGGATCACACAAGCAGAAAGATCCTTTGCCAGTTGAGACACCAGGCAAATGTGGGCAACACTGTGCCTGCCAGAAGCACTTCACTTAGTGTAGTCAGATGGACCAGTCCTGAGTGGAGCTAGATGGACCAACAGCCTGTTCTGGTGTGAAACTGTTTTCTGCGCTCCCAAGCGAGATCTGGGTGATGGAAAGGGGAAGCTGCAACTTACAGAAGCAAACCCCTGTGCCTCTATGCCCAGAGGAGTCCCTGGACTGGAAGCATCCCTCTGCAGCGCCTTCTGTCCCCACGCATTGGCCAAGGGGAGTAAGCGTGAGAAAGATGGCCCTGGTCAACCCCAAAGAGGCGGTCTGGTCGTGTCAAGCATCCGACACTTCTTTGCAGACACCTCCAACCTCAGCCCCTTTGTTTACTTCCAAACGCTCTCACCAGCATATACCGTGCCGTTGATTTCCACTGACATATTGATGCTTCCAAAGCCAGAAGGGGTCCAATTTAAAGCTGCGGCGGCGGCTGGGTCTGACTTATCTTCTGGAAGGAGGAAGAGAGGGAGGGAGAGAATGGGAGAGAAGAAGAAAAGAGGAAAGGTTAAAGGAGGGCTGGTTGAGGCTTGCAGATTGCAGGACGTCTCATCTACTATTAGAAACTTTAGCCCTGCTCTAGTCTCTGCCTTCTCCAAATATGGAAGGAAAGGCTGGGGACCACCGCAGGGGAAACTAAACACCACCTGGGATTAGACAGGGACATCTGGGATGGAATTTCCACGAGGATCAGCCTGATCCCAGCACCCAGCAGAGGCCACATAATGGCTACCTGGAGAAGTTTGCCACAAAATCCAGGATTGGGTCCCCACATTGCATTAAGCCATAGGGAGCTTAAGTGGGGTTGGTTGAATGACCCACAACTGTCTGGGTGCTCAAAGCGCACTGAACTATGAATCAGATTTACAAACAGAACATCTGGATTCCCACCACAGGCTAAGCCACAAACAAACCACTTTATAATTGGGCACGGCGCATCAACTCAGCCAGGGACAGATGAAAGTGAGCATCACTCTCCCCGCCCAGTGAAAGTTAACGCCCCACATCTTGTTATTGGGGAGGTGGGAGAGCAGGGAAAATCAGATGGAATCAGATGCTCCTTAAGAGTGGAACGGAAGACCCCCATGGCTCAAACCTGCTTCCCTTTGGCGGAAGCCAAGATACAGAGCCTGTCTCCACCCTTCCTCCATTCCTCAGGTGGGGCAGAGGCTCCACTGGGGCTGGGGCTGGATTGGAGCAAGTGAGACGAAAGAGATTAGAGACGGCAGCGCTGCTAGAGTGGGCTCACCTCGGCCGTTGATCTTAATCTTCATGGGCAGCTGCCGGGCCATGCTGAACAGGTTCCTCTGAAAGGCCTGCTGGACGAAGCGCTGCTCCTCCTCTGTCATCCGGGCCGCCTTTTCTGCTGGCTCCCCGGACTCCAGCCGCTCCCTCAACTGTTCCAAGGTGGCGGTTCTGGCTGCTGCCGCCACGGCTACAGTGGCCTGCTGGTTGGCCAAGCTCACAGGCATGGCGAGACGATTTGGCGTGGAGGTGGTCAAAGGCAGGCCATCACCTGCAACAGTGAGGGAGGAACTCAGGACCTTCCACGACGCACCCTTCTGGTGCCCAGTTTGCTCCTGGAGAGGCAACTCACCAATGGGTAAAATGAAACCAACATGCCAAGCCTTATCCTAGATTAATAAGGATGGGCCTGGCATGGACAGTAAAACCAGCAGAGGACCTAGGACAGGGATGTCCAGCCTGAAGCCTTAGGTGGCATTCTGCCCACAAATTTATTTTACACACACATACACACACACACACACATTTGCAGCACTGAAGCTCTTCCAATACTATTATTGCGGGGGGAAAGTTTCCTACCACATCGAAGCAAGAAGCACACAAAAACTTTAGGGTAAACCCCAAAATTTTTATATACCGACAGTCCCAACTAGGCTTGACTCCTGGTAACTACACAGAACAACCAGAGCGTTTTCTTGCCAGGCATCCAAAAACTATTTTCCACTGTCTTCTCTGGAGAAGGATTTATGACTTCCCAGTTTAGCATCCCCCCATCCCCCCATGATTTCCTGGATTCTCCCTCTAAGCCCTAATCAGATGTGGCGATGTGCCCTTGCTCAGCTTTTTTTTTTTTTTAAATCAGCCAAGGCTGGCTAGGTACTGAACAGTCTGATGGTGATGGTGATGGTGATGGTGGTGATGGTGATGGTGATGGTGGTGGAGGAGGAGGAGGAGGAGGAGGAGAAGAAGAAGAAGAAGAAGAAGAAGAAGAAGAAGAA